TTTTTCAAAATATTAAAAATATACTATATAACACAAATAAAATTTTATTCTAAAATTTTCGGGACGTTATACTTTCTATTCATCGCAAGACCATCTTCCCACCCTTATCGTGAGGGAAATTGGGTGGCCGATTCACTTGCATTTATACCCTGTTTGATATCCAAGATTTTCTAGGGAAAATGATTCCACTCATTTGCCTTGTTTGATAAGCATTTTTTTCTAGGCAATTCTTTTTCCACCTACTCACCTCACGCGCCTCTTTTCCTTGTTTTGGTTGAATTTCTTTTCCCACATTTTTTGTGGGAAAACTGAATTCCAGTTTTTTTTTGGGCAGTGGAAACCAATTTCATAACCAATTGTAAATTTTTTTTTACTTTAATGGACAATTTCCATGTAAAACAAAGACAAACGAACACTAAACTTTGATTAAAAAATGATTTTTTAGGAATGTTTTTTTCCATTTTTTTTACTTTTTGGTAATGGAAATAAATTTTATAATCAATTGTGGAAAAAATTATCACTTTAATGGACAATTTTCATATAAAATAAAGTCAAACGAACACTAAAAGATACAAAATTTAAAAATTTTCCAAGTGGAAAATTATATTAATCAAACACACTTCATTAACAATTCCCTGTAAAACAATTTCAAGGTAGTTACTTTATCTGGAATTCATTTTCTTTCCACCCATTCCATCCTTACAATCAAACGGACCCTTACGGCTGGACATGATCCGGTTGGGTTCGATTCTCTTTAGAACCGAACAGAACTCAAATTTTCGGATATTTAGTAAATGGAACCTCGAGTCCAAATTTAATTATAGAACCATTCAGATTCAGTTCCATTCGGTTCAGTTTGGTTATATTCGGTTTTCGGGTTCCGTACAATAATTAATTTTTTTTATATTTACAACAATGCTACATTATTTCGACTATGACATGTTCAGTCTTAACTCTTACAAAATAACGTAGTCCAATCTCGTGATATCTTTTGTCTCTTTATTGAGTTCTTTATATATTTGACTGATAAAATCACAGGAAGGGAAAAATATTGAGTTCATAATAATAGAACGGCATATTTGGTAAAAGCTTAGGTCAATTTGGTTAAGTTAGGGCTTAACTGTAAATTATAAATAGTAAAATCATATTTTGGGTTTGGACTAAATTAATTAGCAAATTTATTTAGAAAAAATAAAATAATTTGACGTATTTAAGATAAAAAATTTAAAAAGTTAGGGATATTCGGTTCTTCGTTTAGAACCGAATCGAACCCGTCAGTTCTCAATTCAGATATCCGTTCGGGTATTTAATTTAAGAAGAACTATTCGGTTCGATTTAATTCGGTTCGGGTACGATTCAGAAATTTTGTCCACCCCTAATTGTATTTGAAGGATGGGTTCCACGATGACTTCGAGCTCTTGTACAAATAAATAGATATGGATTGGCTAGCATTAGAGGACATTAGTTTGATTTTCATTTGCTTGCTTTGTATAAGTAGTACTTCCCCTCTTATTACATCCTTTCATATGTTACATCTTTTTTGCTTTTGGAAGGTCAGATTTACACCCCCTTTCTTTTTTTTCCTCGTGGGTCACTAAGGTTGTGTTGGTGTTTTGCGAAAAAAAGATGAAGATACAGAAGACTGACTAAATAATAAACCACCAACACAAGAAGGCTAAGATAACATATGTAATGAAAATAAGTGTAGTGAAAAATATCAGGACTTCCAAAGCCAACGAGAGAGCAAGGGGCAGACAAAAAAAAGTGGCTAGGACCACCATGAACAAACAACAACCACCAATCAGAAAACAGCCAAAGAAAGAACCAAAAAATGAGATTGAGCCATGAAATATATCCAAATCTAGCCCAATCCAATTATTGCAGGCCTAAACAGCCCGATCAAAGGGAGAAGAGCCACAAAGAAACTTTCAAGACAAGGGTAGCCAGCCAGATTCAGATTGCCAAACTAAAGAAATCCAGTACCACGGCACTTGATCCATGGACAACAACAGAGGACGGGGGATGGGAGGCAAAGGAAAGTTGCAATGAGAGTAAGAAACAAGGGTGAGAATCAAAAGAAACAAATAAAACTTGGCCGGACGAGCAGCACAAAGGCTGCTCGCCAGAAAACAAAATTGATCCTTAGTTTAACCAAGACCGATTAAACGCGCTCTGTAATGGAAATATTGTATAATAATCACACAATCAACTAACATTCTCACACAATTGGGAAAATATCACAGAGAATAATATGTCTAATCTTTCCATATCTTCAACAAAAAGAATCATTTTGATGCTTACTTTCTTCTATGTATTTACTGAGATAACTGTAAATTGTCAATGGAATATACCAATATATCCATGGACATGCACTTTTAATGCATAAAATATTTTGAAGAAGTTTCACTTGCATATATCTTCTGGACAAAACAATTTAATGTGTTTATATGTTGGTCAATTAAGTTTTCTGTGTTCTGTTCTGTTGAGTTGGCAATGGAAGAATTGAATGATCCAGATCTATATAGAATCATATTTTCCCAATACTCATGCATAGCAAGTTCTAAATTTGGCAGGTATTGGAAGCAGGACCTATTTCCTTTGTGTCTAATCGTGAAATAGGCTCTTTTTCCTCTCACATGCCAGATCAATCTTGTCTTCTGAAAAACTATATTCGTTCCCATTCCACTGAAGATATTCCTATTGGGCTTCAATTTCAAGACCTGTATGATCTCTTCGACATGAATATAAATAATTTGGAGGTAGTATTACTGTCCTTTTGATTGAAATATTTCCACACTCTTGTGGTTTAAAATGTGATATCTTGCAGATGAAAATAATGACGCCTCAAGCTTCCGCACCTATTCCCGTTTTTGAGAAATTCAATGCATCTTCAAGCTTGGCTTCCTGTATTATCCTTGATGAACCAATTCTGAAAGGATTGGAGGTAAGCAAACCACTAGGTGGACATATCCTGAACAGAAACATCAGTAAAGATGCTTTGCTATATTGTCCTATCATTTCTTTGCTTTATTAAATTTTCTCGTGCACAGTTTTATCATTGAAGCATGCACCGTTGAGTTGAAATGAGTGAAGCATGCATTCATGGGAAAGTTATCGAATTGATTCATGGTTTTATTAATTGATTGGATTCTTTCCAGGATAATGTTTACATCTTCAGTTGTGTACAGGTCCATCTTATATGATAAATTACATTTATCTATGGCGTCCCCTATGAAAGTAGAGTACAATTTAAACTGAATAGTTTGCAGGACTGGTAAGTCCATACGTCGCGTAGATAATGAAGATTGTGGATGGATTATTCTATGTTTCTTTGAACATATGGGTGTTCGCCTGTTGCATTTAGTTTAGGAAATAATTGAAACATTTGGGTCTTGAGACAAGCAGTGGGTTACTATTTCAGCCTTCTGTTGAGCCTCATCTTTTCGAGTGTTCATACATTTGTTTGAAACAAGAGATGTGAAACTGTTTAAACATTTGTTATTCGTTCTTCTGGTCTCTTATCAGTGCAATCAATAGGGAAATATTTGAACATTTATTATTTCACATATACACAAATCTCCACTTGGTTTTCAGGTTCATATAAAGGTGTCATCACTTTTTGCTCACTTCTCTGCATCGATGTATGGGGCAATTCTGGGATTAATTAAACATTTTAATCTGCTGCTGCTTCCATCGGACTCCATCATGCCACTTGATGTTATGTCAAATGAACTGAGGACTTCCACATATCTCTGGTTCTCTATCACTACTACTCTGGATGTGATTGATTTGCTAGTTGACCTTGAAGATGGTGTAACTAATGGCTACACACTCTTGCTTTGTATTCAAATGTTAGATTTGGGGTATGTTTCTTCTGATCCTCTATTCTTTGAAGTCAGATGATCTTGTAAGGTATATAAGTGAATGATGGAAATGGTTTTGCATTTACGTTTTATTGTTTGTCACTATTTAGTATTATTGTCTATATTTACTCTTTTTTCTTCCCGCTACTACTATACTTCTTAATTCACTATTGTTGTTGTAGTACATATTATAGGTCATTCAGAACTCATCACTTCCACAATATTTTGACATTTCAACTGACCCCAATTTTTGAGGTTTGATTTACGTACATATTGGCACATTCTCATCCCAACTCTTGAAACCAAGTCCGAGTAACATTGCCCCTTGGAAAGGCTTCGCTTTTTGCCGACGATTTTATATTTGAACTAAAATGTCAACCTCTTGACTCTCGAGAAAACCCTAAGCTCTGAGAATCAGACAACTAGCTTAATTCTGATATTCATTCCCTTCTTTTGAGGAACACTATGAATTCTTCCATGTTTCTCTCTTTGGAGTACTTGACTTTATCTAGACTACTAACTTGTTATTAGAAATCTCCTGGTAAGGGTGCTTTCGATATTGTAAATGTTTTTGGCTTGGAATGTTTTCATGTAACTGCTATCTCATTTCAGGTTTGATAAAAAAGATATACCAGAGTGCTGGGCCTCTGTGAAGACATTGAGGATCACCGCATGTTCACCAAACGATGATCAGAAAAACTATGTCCTTTGCTCAACTGGAAGTGTATTTGGCTCTGAAGCTGTAGGACTGGAAAACATGAGTGTCTGCCTTGGCTGCCATGATGAAAATTCTGATGATAAAAGTTCAACTGCTTATGGGTGCATTTTTTTGCATTATGAAGCTTGCAGAAAAATTGAATTCTTTCGTCACAAATATAAAATATGCATAAACAATCTTGATATTAATTGCTACCCATTTATAGTTGGGCTAATGGTCAGATTTTTTGACAAAGTTTCAATGTATAGAACATCAAATGTTGAGGACAGGCAACCAAATGTGGAGGGTAAAAATCTCTCATCAAGGCCTGGCTTTGATCTGCGAAATTTTGGTTTCTTGAACCTACATGGAGATGGTTTCTCTGAATGGACAAGCATCTCGTTGGATCATTTTCCTTTTGTTACATGTAAAAATTTCAGATCACTTTTTAACATTGAGGATCCAGCTATTGATGTGAGAGCTGAATGGAAGACAGCTCTAAATTTGAAGAATCAGGAAAAAAAAAGTCCCGAATTCAGCAATGCGGAGAGAGCAGAAGTATTTTCTTCCCCACTGCTGAAGCCTAATACTGGTGCCGATTCTTGGCAAAGAACCTTTAGTGATAATGGCTCGATTCTTGTTGATATGAAGCTTGGCAGTATTGCAGTGCATTTTCATGATTCCTCATGCGTTATTGGCACTGTTTCTTTGCCCTTGGCAAAATCACTATTCTCTGTTTGTGAAGATTGTTTGGATATAGTTTGTTCTACTGAAGGATTGAACCTTTCTTCATTACAGTGCACTCAAACCATCCATGAGTTTCTTTGGGGTCCAGTATCACTCAACCTTTCTCCAATTCTAAACTTACGACTGAGGAAAGAGAACACTCATTCTCTGAAATCTCATCTTGAAATGGATTTCAGCATCCAGCATGTATCCTGCATTTTACCTCCTGACTTTCTGGCTATAGTTATTGGTTATTTTTTATTACCTGATTGGAACCTCAGTACAGAAGAGGGGCCTACTGGCAAGAAATTAGAGTCTATGAATTCAGAAGACTCCATGAGTATCACTTATAATTTCGAGATACTGGATTGTGATTTGATTACTCCAGCTGGATACTGCTCTGAGTTTGTGAAGGTTGACATTGAACAATTGTGCATTAGTTTTATAGAAAACATTGATTCAGGTATGGTACTAAAGGGCATTCCTTCCACTTGTCGTGTGAGTGCCGATAAACTTGCTGATAGAAATCATTGTATTGATTTAATTGGACATAACCTATCTCTATCTCTGTTATTACTGAAAAGTGATATGGTTGATTCCTCGAGTATATATCAGAATATCATCTTGATTGCACCATTGAGTGCTGATGTATGGGTGAGAATACCTGGCCAGTCTGAGTTTTCTGATGTAGCTTCTTCTTGCCCAGCATGTATTATGGCTAATGTCAGTAGTTGTCAGGTTGACATTGAAGGTATGGGGAATTAATATTTTCATCGTAACTGGATTCTGATTCCACTTCTGTTTCTTCCTTCCATTGAAATTAATACTTCTTTCTTTATCTACAGGAATTTTTGCAGTTGTTGGTTTTGAGGCACTGGTGTATGTGATCCATCAATTTTCCATGGTCAACGAAAAATCCAAAATGTTCACGTCTGATATCTCACAGTTTCTGCAGGTAAAAGAACCCCTGTTAGAAAATGTTTCACTTCAACCTGAAGCCTCAACAGTCACCTTCACTGAGATGAAGTTCTGTATGAAGTCACTGTCATTAAGATTGCATCACTCGAAAAAAGAATCAACTTCTTCTGAAGTCGTAGCAGAGGCAGAGATGCAATTTACATGCACTGCATCACTAATGAATGGAAAACCTCTATGCTTTTATATTTCTTTCTCTTCTCTTGCTCTATTTTCATTATTGAGTTCTGTTATGCTTGTGGAGTGCGCTTCTCCGAGCTCGGGTTCATCAGTTCTTGACATGGCTCTTTCAGTGTCAGATCATGGGGAAAATCATCTTGTTGTGTCACTTCCTTCTTTGGATGTTTGGGTACACTTGTTTGACTGGATTGAGATCTTTGATCTACTTGGTTCATGCATTGAGCAGCCCTTTGTTTCATTGACCTTGGATCCTAGTGAAAATATAGAAATCTCAAGTTGTACTTCATCTACAAACAAGAGGCATGATGCTGATTATTTTACTCTAACATTAGAAACTCTTGGAATGACTATTCATATTCCTGCCGAGGTCAACAGGGCTTCATCTAGCACATTTTGGAGGCCTCATACTCATGATGAACAGTGTGTGAGTGGCTTCTGTGGCAGAATAGTTGGAAATCAGAATTGCTTTCTTTCTGTTACCTTGCAGAGTAGACAAACTGTACTAGTAGCTGATGGCAAAACTATGAAACTAAAGGTCAATCTTGAAAAAATGATTGGGATGATGAATCTATTTGTGGATAAGAGTGAACAGACATGGCCTCTTTTTCAATCGTTTCAAATCAATCTTGAAGCAGATATTTTTAGTTATATGATTGAGAATGCAGACATGAAAGTGGAAGTTATATGTGACAATCTAGAAGTACAGCTCTCGGATCACATATTGTACTTCTTGCAGTTCACGTGGTTAGAAAAATCTGAAAACAGGCCTTTTCAATTTATATTCAAGGGTGTGGATTTTACAGCACAACTAAGGAATTTTTCTCTTCTCGTAATTGATTCGAAGGTGAGCTCCATCAAATGGTAAAACTCTGTTCTTTTCTTGGAATGTCATATTCTCTTTCCTCTTCAGGGATTCAACTAGCTTCATCACTGACCAATTTCCTTTCTGATCAAGTATGGCATATTTTTGCCCAGCAATAAGATTCCTCTTCATTAATTAATAATTTGAAAGTAAAGGAGAATTTCAATTTTCAAGGAACTCGGTTTATTTGGTGCTTTAGATTGGAAAGGATAACTTTCAGGTACATATGCACAGTTACGTAACCAAACAAACACGCGTTCAGGGAATGTATGGTTACTTACAGACAAAAGTACGTTGTGGGGGAAAACCAAGAAAAAAAATTTATATCCTGTTGGGAGTTGTGCATGGACGTGTAAGACTCCCATGTCACATTCATAAATTGTAGGAGGAACTCCATGGGTGATGAATTTTCAACACTCTGGCCCTCAAGTTTGATTATCTACTGGGATAAAGGGGTATCGTAATCTCAATAGACTGGAGAAATACCTGGGCTCCATAGTAGGTACTTGAGTGAATGATACTGGAGCAGCATGGCATGATGATAGTTTTGTGATGTAGATCATTAAACATTGGGATCTTAAATTCAGTATTCCTCATTGCTGAAGTGCAATTGTTTAAACAACTAGGGTCTGATTAATTGATAAAAATAATTGGCAGTCCTTTTGATTTTTTTTCCCCTACTAATATGAGGTATTTAAATTTAATTTAAATCAGTTCTATAAATTATCAAAGCACCAAGGAGGGATGGCAGGGGAGATAGACAGGAAACATGATGGCTTAGCTTGTAGTATGTCGTCGTCAACTCTCGCAATCATGCAACCATCTTACATTTTCTGCTCATGCATAAATCCTTTTAGTTTTTTACCATTCAAAATATTTTGCAATCTATGCCTAAAAAAAGTGGCTTTAGTAATCTTGTCAGCAGAAGTGGTTAAATTGCAGGTTTCATAGCATTTAGTATTTTTAAATGTGTTGCTCACAGATTTAAAAGTTCAACTCTATTCCTCAATTTATTGCTGGCATGCCAATGCTCTTGTTCTTTTCATCTCAAGCAAATTAATATTTTCTATATGTGAGGATTGAGTCCTGTCAATATCTTTTTATTTTTAACAAACTCAAGATTTGTTAATGTCACATGATAATGTGAGTAAGTCTTCTTCTTTACTTTCTCTTCATGTTTTTATAGTTCTAATAGGAATCCGAACATTTTGAAATATTCTTCCGTTGTTGATTTCATTCATCTAAGTCATTGCTCTTGTTGTTTGAACTCTGTTAATTATACATAGAGGTTCATGGGTATCTAATTTTCATTTACTGAGAATTTTGGATTATGTATGTGTGGACATGGTGGTATAACCTGATTGATCGGTCCAACATCTGATGTAACATTTCTTATTGTAGAAAAGTGAAATATCTTTAATTTGAAATAAAATCTGTTTCAGATAAAAATATGATTATCTTTGTTTGTATTTTATCTTTTGTATCTGAGTTGATTAATTACTGACTAGATTAGATAAGGTTTATCTCTAGATTAGATATTCTCTGTGGATGAATTCTTTGATTGTATGCCTACCTGTGTTCTAAATTACCAAACACCTTTAAATAGGTTCTCATCTTTTACCCTCACACAAAATATAACTTCCTTATGCACAAAAATGTTGGGTTGTACAACATTTGTACATAGCCATGATCAACCATAGAAAAGTTGATCCCCGAGCTCAAAAGTGTGTTTTCCTTGGGTATTACCCAACTCGAAAAGGTTACAAGTGTTACTTTCCGGAATAATTTTTTCCCAAAATTTAATTTCAGGGAGTGAACAATAGCGGACAGAAATTTTGAGAAACCACTTCACTACAATTAGTCCCTTCGTATTTTCAACCTCAGCATGAAACTAACTGAACAGTCACATAAACCCATGATGTCACAAAACATTGACAAGCACCAGGAATCTTGGAAATTCTTGGACAAATTCACTAGAGTTGTGTGTTCATTCGAGATAACATCCACAAGTAATATAGAGCAGCATAATTATCAGCCCTGTCAAGAATTAGAACTGGAGGCAGCCACTAAGTCACTCGAAAGTCCCTCACATATTGAGCGTCCCTCCTCAGATTACTGTTGACCTTCCTATTGCTCTTAGGAAGGGTGTAAGATCATGTATCCTACACCACCCCATATCCTATAATGTTTCATATAACAAATTATCTCCATAACATACAGTAAACATTTGATGATCCAAAATGGGAGCTTGTGGAATTACCAAAGGAGAAGCATACCACGCTCTTCCTTTCGGGAAGGGAGGATTAGGGAAATCCTCTTGATTGCTGCTTTCTCCATACCTCCGGGAAAAGCATGAAAAATACTTCTAAGATAATCCTGTTCCCATGCAATAGTCAATAATATAGGCTACAAATGGATGTTCGCGGTTAAGTATAAATTTAATGGTTCGGTTAAAAGGCTCAAAGTCAGATTAGTAGCGAAGGGTTTACACAGACTTGTGGCATAGCTATCAATAGATGTTTGCTCCTGTTGCAAAACAGAACACTATTTGAATTATATTATCACTGGCTACCATTTAGGTTGGCCTTTGCAACATTTGGATGTGAAGAAAGCTTGGAGGTAGAATGTTTGCATGACTATCACATCAGGCTTTGAAGGGAAAGTTAGTATTAGAAAAGTTTGGAATCTAAAAATCTGTTGAATGGCGTTAAGCGATCTCCATGGGCATGGTTTGACAGGTTTATGGAAATTAGTAAGAGTCATGGATACAATCAAGCACAATCTGATCACATTTTGTTCCTCAAATGATCATTAGAAAGGGAGGTAACTATGTTGATCGTATACGTACATGACATAATTATTAATGGAGATGAGGTACTAGAGATAAATAAATTAGAAGGAAGATTTGAGATCAAATATCTTGACCAATTGTAGTTTTTTGGGAATGGAGGTAGCGAGATCTAGAAGAGGCATTTTGTAGTGAAAAGGAAGTATATTTTAGACCTATTAATAGAAACAGGCATGTTGGAAAGTAGACCTGCAGACATTCCAATGACCCAAACCAGAAGATAGAAAGTGATAAGGAAGCTAGCGACGCCTAGTGGGTAAATTATATTATCTTGTCCAGACTAGGCTAGACATTTTCTTTTCAGTTAGTGTTGTCTGTGAGTTCATTCACTCTTCTATTGAGGAACATTTGGATGCAGTAAACAGAATATTAAGATATCTTAAGGACACACCACAAAAAAGTTTGTACTTTGAGAAGAATAAAAATAGAGATATGGAGGCTTATACTCATGCAGATTGGACTGGTTGTATTAATGATAGAATGTCAACTTGGAGGAGCAAGAAACTATCTACCGTACTAGCAATGAGGCAAAATTTAGAGCTGTTGCTCAGGGAATCTGTGAGCTGCTGTGGATAAAACTACTACTTGAAGAGCTGCAGTTTATTAATAATATGTTGATGAAGTTGTACTGTCACAACAAAGCTGCTATAAGTATTGCACATAACCCAATTTATCATGACAAAACTAAACACGTAGAAGTTGACCGACATTTCATCCAGTACAAGATTGAAAAGGGAATAATCTCTAAGACATATGTTCCTACTGGGAAGCAAATTCCTGACATTTTGACAAAGGGACTGCGGAAACAGAATTACGAAATACTTGGGAGCAAGTTGGACTTGATATTTCTCACCAGCTTGAGGGGAGTGTGGAAAAGTCAAAGGATCTTTAATTTGAATTTGAAATAAAATCCGAAGAAAATGCGTGGTTAAAAAGTAAGGAAAAATTTTGGGTTTACGTGTAATATTATTATTTTTTTTTCATTCATTGAAATGGTGTTCGGTGGCTTTGGAACAGTATTCTAGCTTTCCAAGAGTTGGATTGGGTGATGCCTAGGCGATTTGAAGACGTGTTGAGGGCATGGACGAGGAAACTTCGCGATAAAGATAGTAGGATTGTATGGGATCGTATTCTGGGATGCATTGTATGGTGCGTGTGGAGAGAAAGGAAGAGCCGTTGTTGTGA